TATTATTTGAATATCTGGGTAGTATGTTCCAGTTATTTACAGGTCTATAAGAGGTGCAAACTGCAATTATATCAGGAACATGAATATTAAAGGGTTTTGGAAAATAGCATCCAAACACAAGCCATCAACAGGAAGCTGTTGTAGACATCAGGATGCACTGTCTAGATTCCCCTCAAGGAATGACTTCCTGCCCAGCTCTGGGAGTGTGGTCAGCAGACAGCCTTCAACTCTCAGGTCATGCAGGACCTCAAGATCTCCCTAAGCTGCAAGAGAGCCCAACATCAAGACCTGATGGGGGCAACTCACATCTGATGACTAAGCAAGATGGATTTTAAAGGCCTAGAAAGTTCAATCCAACTTGAGGTAATATGGTTGGTCGGATAATACTCTCTCCAGAGCTTCCTACTAGATTAGCATAAATTTTGCCAATTTATATCTCAGTTTTATTTCTCCCTCTGATGAATTCTCCATACTTTTTCTTTCAATGATATTGACCTCTAATAAATATTAAACCTCAAATGTATCTCAGCATCTGCTTATAAAGAACCCACCTATGGCAGGAACGTAGTTATCAGATTGCTTAGACATTTGAGAGTGCAGAAATTTGGTTGCTTAACAATAAAAATGTTCTGGGGCTGAGGTTGTGGTTCAGTGGTGGAGTGCTTGCCTAGCATATGTGAGTCACTGTGTTTGATCCTCAAACCACATATAAATACATAAATATATAAAATAAAGGTACTGTGTCCAACTAAAAATATTCTTTAAAAAAAACAATAAAAATGTTCTGGATGGGGTGCTATGATAGGGACAAAGTACATCATCCTACATGTGGACTATTATTATGTGAAAGGGTGCAAAAGTGTACACAAACTATACTTATAATCTCCAGGGTCACCCGGGGATCAGAAAGCTAATCAAAGCATAAAATTAATCTGTACATAAAAATTTTTCTTTATAACGACTTCACACCATAGGCAAATTTAAATGTGGTGAAAGATAAAATCTCTGTGTGATAAATAACTTTTATACATTGAGTTTGCATGTAAGATTTTTAAACTATTATACACAAACAAGTACCATAAAAAAACCAACATTAAAGTTAACAACTTTTTTGTGAAACGTCATTGTTAAGAGAATAAAAACTCGAGATATAAATAGTAAAGATATTTGCTATCCTTATATCTGAAATAGTAGTCATCAAATGGCATAATTTTGTTTTTCTTTAAGGCTGAGTAATATTCCATTGTGTATATGTACCACATTTTCTTTATCCATTCACCTGTTGAAGGGCATCTAGGTTAGTTCTATAGTTTAGCTATTGTGAATTGGGCTCCTATAAACATTGATGTGGCTTTATTACAGTATACTGATTTAAGTCCTTTGGATATAAACCAAGGAGTGGGGTAACTGGAGAATATCATGCTAAGTGAAATAAGCCAAACCAAAAAAAAAAAAAAAAAAGAACAAAGGCTGAATGTTTTCTCTGATAAACAGGCGCTAATCCATAATGGGCCGTGGGGGATTAAGGAATTTTGGATTGTGCAGAAGGGAGTGAGGGAAGGGGAGAGGATGTGGGATTAGGAAGGACGGTGGAATAAGACATATTATTACCCTATATACAGGTATGATTACATTCCTGGTGTGTTTCTGCACCATGTACAGCAAGAGGAAAGAGAACCTGTGTTCCATTTGTGTACAATGTGTCAGAATGCATTCTACTGTCATTTATAACTAATTAGAACAAACTTAAAAAAAGAGTCATACTAATAATTAATAACACCTGAAAAATCAATGACCCTTAACAACTTTTGCTTGTTTGTTTGTTTTGGTACTGGGGATTGATCCCAGGGACACTTAACCACTAACCCAGATCTCCAGCCCTTTTTAATATTTTATTTTGAGACAGGCCTCACTAAGTTGCTTAGGGCCTTGCTAACTTGGTGAAGCTGGCTTTGAACTCACGATCTTTCTGTCTCAACCTCCCCAAGCTCCTAGGATTACAGGCATGCCCCAACATGTCCAGCTACTCAAATGGAAAAAATTCTGGAAAAGGAATGTCACATGAATGTGTTTATCCAGGGAGTTATATTATTACCCAATAGAAGTTTATATCTTTGTGTACAAAAACAATGAAGTAAATATGTACCAGAAACATCAGAGCAGAATCAGAACCCCAATTGTAACTCTTAGCTGCTAAGAGTAAGGGAGTGAATATGGGTTATAATCATACAATAAAGACAAAAATAGAAATGAAAAAAAACACCCCTACATAGGAACATGTATGTTTTTCACAAATTTGATGAGGATAGAAGCTGAACACACATACAAAATATGAACTTTAATTTCATTGACATAAAATGCTCGTAATGAATAGTGGTGGACTAGTCTGACTGGTGGACCATGTAGGAGTGTAAGGGGCTTTTAAAGTACAGTCAAAGTTTCATTTCTTGTTTTGGGTAGCAATTACTGAACAAATTTACTCTGCAACAAATTTGTTGAGCTAGACCTTATAATGTATAATTTTTTATATTTCTTTATATAAATGAACTTCCATAAATCTTTTACTAAATAAAAAAATTCTCATTAAAGAACTTCATGATAGACATATATGCTTATATTACCCTTTCTCAATATTGCTTTGTTCTCATGTGGATAATTAATTTAGTTGAATATAGTTGGCTTATTAGAAAAATAATAATAATGTGTTGCTGTATTTGTATATCTTTTATACATATATCTAAGACTAATAAAAAGTAACTCTATACAGAGTAGAATAGTGTTTCTGAGGAAGAGTTTTAAACTGGAAATGAATCGTGTTCTTCATCAATCAGAAAATATTAAATTCCCAATCTCCAGTAACAGAAATTAGCAGATATGATAATCCCATGATTTAATATTTGGTTATCTATGTATCATAGATTTATGAAATATGGTGTTTATTCCTCAAACAACATACTGTGTATGAGAGAAGATAGGTAAAAATACAAATAATTAAAATAAATGTGATTGATTATGACAGAGGTAATGATAATTCAGCTTTGAGGGCTTGGTGAATGTTGAGCACTATTCTAAATGCTTTAAATAAAGCCCCATGACACTTTTATATGTTGGTAATCACTTTATGCATTTTTAGAGATTAAAAAAAAACATGATAAACAATTGGGTTAAATAGCTTTCCCAAAGTGGCAAAGCAAGAACCAGAGCAACAATGTAAATCAAGTTCCAACATCCATGCTCTAAATCATGTGTGTGCTGTGTTGCAAATTTTCTATGAGAAAAGAGAGTAAGACCCCTTGACTCTAGACCATTGATGTTATATTCCGGTCTTCCATACCTTATTTAAAAATTCATTAAAAAATCACCCCTCTGCTTGTCTGTCTTCATGTGGACCACATAGGAATGGAGGATGTAAAGAAAGCAAAAGGGGAAACCAAGGACTAGAGATTGAATCACATGGGACAGGGCTCTAGGCTCACACTGGCTGCAGTCAGTCACACATTGAAATGTGGGGAAGGAAGGTGGGGTAGAGGAAATTATTTTACTTCAGTAAAACTAATGTCTTGCTCTCCTCTAATTTTTATGAATTCCTCAATTTAGGAACAGTGATTGGAATTTCTCAAAGACAGTTGGGGAAATCACTCCCCCAAGAAATCCATTTGTAGTACAGATCCTAGCTGGTCTTCATTTGCTTCCATAGCTTGAAAGAAATAAACACTCTCCTACTAACAGGACTCAAGTCAAAGCTAGGGTGCAGGCAGAAATCTTGGGGACCACTGTTAAAACTCCAAATTCCTAAGGCTCAGCGTGCAAAAATGATGTAAGAAAGGAGACAGAAAGAGAGGGAGGAGGGAGGGCAGCGAAGGTAGGGCAATTAGTGCCCTAAGTGAGGAATGGCCCCTGGGGACACATTTATGAGATAAATGTTTCTACTAGCCAGGTTTTGGTGCATGTTCTGAGAAAATGGTGTTATAACCAAATCGCTCACAAAGCTAAGGATTTGAAATTTCTGACAATGGCATTGAAGAATGGAAGAGAACAAGATTTCAGGTCAGTGAGGGTATATACTAAATTTTCTCACTGAAGTCTCCCTGCAGGCACCAGCATAGAGTAAGACAGGGGCTAGATAGCCAGGATCTCAATAAGAAAAAAGCAGTGGCATGATCTGTGAAGATCAGTTGAATAATAACAGTCTGACATCTCTGAAACCTGCCTACTTTAAGGGTTACCTCTTCACCTGTATAAAACTAGTCCTAGGAGAGATTCTGAAATATACAAGGCAAACAGGAGTGTGGAAGCAACCAGGAGGATGGATGGGACGACTTGCATGCTTCTGCTTCTTTCTCTCTTTCTGTCTGTCCTTGTCACTTGTGTGATCTCCATTTTAACCCTGTGCTTTTCTTCATGGAAATCACTTTCCTACAATTCCAGATTAAGTTCCAAACAGAGACTCTCTACCAGCTTCTTGAAGATGTGTAGCCCTGAAATCATCAGTAGTTCAAACACTTGCTGGATAAAAGTCTTTATTTGATCAGAGATCAATCTACCAAGTCAAAATTGAGCTTGGGTGTAGCCTGGGAAGAATCTGCTTCTAGATCAAGTGTGGTGTTTACATACCAGTGTATCTTTAAAGCCTGGATAGAGTCCCAGTGTAAAGAGGCATTCAATATCTTCTGAATGAAAACAGGAGAGTTTTTCTTTTTATAACCCTCATAAGGACCCTCATGATCTTACCAGGTCTTGGGGTTCACAGCTTTACCTTCAGAATTAATGAGCCACCAGGCAGGGTGCGCCAATCTATGTGCTTCAATGATTTGAGAACCTGTCAACATTCAGGTATGTAAGACGGTTAGAGGGTCAATTAATATGAGTAGGCAAACCAACCAGTGATTTAAAGAAAGAACACAAACTATGTGCTGGTCACCATGCCAATAGTCAAGTATTAAAAATATGAGCCACAGGAAGCCAGGTAGAGAAGTAAAAGTGTGAATCATGGTTTATCCAGAAAAGAGGGATAAGAGACAATATATAAGTGACAAAAATGGAGGGAGAAATTAAGTGTCTTTGGTAAAGGAGAGAGGGACAGGACAAGTAGGGAAAATATTAAAAATAAGGACAATGAGGAAAAGTCTCAGTAGGGTCTCTCTTGGTGTCTGCATGTGGCCCTCAATTTATGTGCAGGAGTTGGACACTTTGAATTTCACCTTCTCATTTATGAAACAAGTCCACTTTAAAGCACAGACTCTGGGAAAAGGTGAGTGATTGCAGGGATAAGGGAAAGATCTTAGGTCTTTAATGCCTGCAGAACTCACAAGTTGTCTCATGAACCTCAGAGGCAGCTCTGAGTAAAGCAAGTAAATACTCATCATCACAAAACAGAAGTGAGGTAGCAAACCAGACTGTACTCCTAAAGATTTCACCCATGCCTGATGTCATCCTAACCTACAGTGGATGTTTGATGAATGGATTACCTTCATTCATGACCAATACAAATCTACAAAATAGCAGATTTTTTTTATTGTAAGAATTCGACCAAAAAATGAACTGTGTGCAGTACTGCAGTGTCTTGACCCATGATGAAAACTCAACAATTATTCATCTCTTACATTTGCTTCTCAGCACCATCTTCACTTTGTGGTCCCATCTATCTTTTTTTTCCTCTCTCTTTTTCTTCATCTATTGTATGTCTACTTAGTATTAGAACACAGTCACTTAGATTAATATTTTGTGTTACCTTTTCTCCCCAGCTCTCTTAAGTCAGAATTGAAATTTGCTAAGGGGAAAACTTATGTGTTTTCAGCACACAATGAAAAAGAAAATAACCTTTTAGGTGATGGGTTTATTAATTAGCTTCATTATGATCATCATTTCATAGTGTTTACTTACATCAAAACATCACATTATACACTTCACATGCATACAATTTATGTTTGCCACTCCTGCTTTCTTTATATATTTATATTATATATTTTAGTTATACATGGACACAGTATATTTATTTTGTTTATTTATCTTTTATGTGGTGCTGAGGATCAGACCCAGTGCCTCACATGTGTGAGGCAAGCTCTCTGCCAGTGAGCCACAACTCCAGCCACCGTCCTGTTTTCTTAACCCTGCATGAGTTGCCTATTTTCTGAGCCTTTCACTCACAGGCAGGGGCTAACAATTCCTGGTTTTTCACTCTTGAGAACACAGTTGCCTGTTCCCCAGCTTCCCTCAGGCTAAATGCTACAGTTTCAAAGTCCTCTTTGGCTGTGTCAGAAGTTCCCACACTCCCCACTGTCTTTTCATTTTCTCCTGTCACTCAGACACATCAACTGCTGCTCCAATTAATTGGAATTGAATACTTTCACTTACAGTCTAAACCACCTTCATTTCCTATCTGTTTCATAGGCTTCCTAAGAAAATTCTATCATTGGACGTCTCAGAATAATTCTGAGGTTTACCTACCGTGATCTCTATATCAATATCAAAAACTCACAACTGAGAATACTTTACGAAGTTCCCCACAGGCAATTGCCTTCTAGTGTCATTTACAGTATCATTTACAGATGATGACACAAAATATCAAGATTATGTGACTTCCCCAAATTCACTATTGTTAGAAGTTAGAAAAGCTGAAACATTAACCAAACTCTTTTGAATATTAAAGCACTATAATTTTGGATACATCCCCCATACCCAATGGGGAAAAAAAATGGGCAAAAAGAGGTCAGGTGAACCATGCATCAATTCACACCAAGATATTCTTTCCATACATGTGGACTGTATAGTCTATATCAACATCAAAAGAAAGTAGCTTTGTTTTTTATGATTGGTACAATCAGAAGTTACCTTAACCAGATAATACCTTAGAATTTCAATGTCACAGATGCTTCTCAATTTTCATAAATCCTATGAGAATTTATAGCTTTTATTTTTTTAATTTAAAAAAATTATGCTTACCCATGTTTATAGCAGCACAATTCACAATAGCCAAACTGTGGAACCAGACTAGTGACCATCAATGGGTGGGAGAATTAAGAAAATATGGTATATATATATATATAATGAAATTTTATTCAACCATAAAGAAAAATGAAACTATGGCTTTTGTAGGAAAATGGATGGTTAGAGACCATCATGTTAAGTGAGACAAGTCAAACTCAGAAGGCTAAGGGTCCGTGTTTCTCTCATATGCGGAAGCTAGAGAGAAAAAGGAAAGAGAGTTGGGTGTAGATCTCCAAAATGTCAAGAGGATAGCAGTAGAGGAAGAAAATCTAGGGATGGAAGTTATCAGGAGCAGACTGAAATGCTGCAATGTGATATTGGCCAACTTATATTGTTATATCATGTACATATATGAATATTAACAATAAATTGCATCAATATGTACAACAATAATGCATCAATTTAGAAGTGATAAACTAAAAAATAAATAAAACCAAAACAAAATAAAATTTCTTCTTGAAATGCCTAAATAATCAATTTCTAATTCTGCATCTCTAATTAAGGGATATGCAAGAATAGTTTACCTTGTGTTTTTACCAAATAGTGCCTTGAAATAATTATCATACTATATCATTCTATTGCTTATTCTTATATCTATGTTATATAGTTTTGAATTCTTTGAAACAGTTCATAAATAAGTAGAACATTACAATGCTAGACAGCTTGAAGTTTATTTTTTAGGAGATAACATAATGCAAATTAATCTGTTGACATTTTGTAGATTCCCAAAAATCTCTAGACCTTTATCAGTTCAGTTTTCTTTCCAAACACAATGCACATCACTCAAACCCTGAAATTAATTATTTCACTTTATTCATTTTTTTTATATTTTGTTCTTTATATTATTTTGCCATAGCATGTCCAACATTGCTTAGAATCTTTATTTCCTACTCATCTTCTAGGCTTCACATACTCTGGGAAAATTTCATATTTGTCCTCAATACCACCAATCATGATGAGGAGCAGCAAGACAAACAGCCTGTAAGTACTGACTATTGACTTACAGTGATTTCTTCTTTCACTTTGTTTGGGTGGTAGAACACACCAGGACATCAATCAGGTCTACTTA